CCCCCCCCCCCCCCCCCGGTGCACCGCATGCCGTGCTAGGGAGAACCTTTCGTCGCCAATAGACTGCAGCCGCCCTTCGCAGACACCGTTCCACGGGCTCCGGCCTGACTCGTGTCCCCTGCGTACCGCGCACAATCAAGCCGTCACCACCATGTTCAATCATGACTCGCGCAACAAGTATTTATTAACATGTTATACACCATCTGACCTTCTTTCTTCTACATAACGCAAGCACGAATCTATTCCGTCCACTTACGCCGAAGTTTGTTGTTTATGGTACTGTTTGTTGACTGTGTATGACAACGAATACTTCACGCCGTTCCAAACATTTTCGGATACATCCCTTCCTGCACACCGGCCGGGCACGATCACACAGAGTGGGTGACGGCCAAGTCCACAGTTCCGTGTACCGATAGCAGCAATTCTTGTGGCCGATTTAATCACCGAGCGATTACGACTGCATCTTTCGCGCATACATATTGACGGTAGTCGATGTCATCGAACTCTGAAAGGCCGACATCAACCAATTTGCCCGATTACACGTCTCCGCTGTACGGAGGTGGTGCCTGGGTGTGGCCAACATTTTGAGGCTGGGCCTGAGGCGCGTGGTGCTTCATCTGCACGCCGTGGTTGGGTGCCGTGACCTGTCGCATTGCAGTCCACAAGCAAGGAACGGAAGACGGCGATTGGTGTTTGAGGGTGGCGCCATGCGCACGTTCTGCTACACGTTGAGCCAACTGCTAAGGATTTTTATCCACTTCCGAGGGCAGGCATTCGATCTTCGGTACAGGAGGCAAACCANTGACCTGTCGCATTGCAGTCCACAAGCAAGGAACGGAAGACGGCGATTGGTGTTTGAGGGTGGCGCCATGCGCACGTTCTGCTACACGTTGAGCCACCTGCTAAGGATTTTTATCCACTTCCGAGGGCAGGCATTCGATCTTCGGTACAGGAGGCAAACCACATACCAGATACAAGGCTTGGTATCGTAGTTCGGAATGGTGGCGACGCTATCAAATTCGCCACAATCCTGTTGCGCCATCGAGGGAATCCCCGACACTAGTTTAGTGGGATACGCTCGATTGCGCGGGTTCGTCAGGGGCCAAGTATAATCGAGAAATCAAAAGAGCTCATGCCAGGAAATCAGCAGCAACGACAGATAACGCGACCACTCGACGTTACCCGCCACACCCGCCGACTGTATTCTTCAAGCGTACAGTCACAACAACATATATGTTGAGGCGCAGTCGAATCAAGATCGACCGTACCGCCGGGGGAGTCACCGCCGCCAGACACCGCCAACATGCAGACGATCGTAGCGGACAGGTGCCGTCGATCATGAAACACCAAGAACATTGCGGATCTTCACTACGTGTGTGTATGGAAAGTACATTTCGCTGCTGACATCTACGAGTTTTGTGGAGGAAAGATCCAAACGTTTTTCGCGCCCACCCCGTCGTAGCGGACAAGAAGCTACCTACCATTCTTTTTTATCTCACTCCGTGCTCTTATGCGGAAACTCACTTGGGCACCTCCGGCCATGGGCGGGCCCATCGCGTCTGGGGCGCCGCTCTTCTCCCAGTTGCATATAGCAAGGAAGATGAACACTATCGCGATAATGAAGGACAAGGCGCCGAGCGCAGCGGGCAGAGCGAACCACCCGACGGCGCTGGTGAGCTGGGTGCCGTTGTAGTAGTAGTTGTCTGATGTTGCAAGGGCGATCCTGGAATGGCGAGAAAGAGGTGAGGGTCGGGAACTCACTGGACTCAGGGGTTGGAGAATCAAGCGTTAGTAGTAGTCTTGCCACCGTTTCTCCACCTCAAGCCCGCGTCGGAAGAAAGTCGAGCGACAGTCTATCGCTACACATTCAAATGGGCGTACTTCCAATGCACTTTCCCGGGGTGCACTGCGCTCAGACGTGCAGTTCAAAACATCAAAATAAAAGGGGTAAATAAAAGCGTAGCATTCAATTTGGCTACACCATCGAGAAGAACATGGGCACGTGAGCTAAGATTCTGTTTGTACCCGATATCTCACCAAGCTGCCATGGCGACCAGGTCAAAGATGCACCCGAGGATGAACAGGGAGCCAGCGACGATGTATGTGCACTTGTTGAACTGGCACAGGAGGATCCCTCCCATGATGAAGCTGATCAGACTCGCCAGCCAAACGCTCCACGCAATCCAGCCGAACGCTAGAAGGGCGATTGCATGGACGACGATGCTGGCGATGGTGGCTCCCCTCGACTGAAGCGACAGCAAAGGATGGCATGATGGTTGGGACAAGACGCATATTCGAGAGAAAATTCGAACTCTGCTAATCGTCATCGGTTCTTAGTGGTTGGTGCGAACCCGTGCCCAGCCGTTCCCCAAGCGCGTTTCGCTGTTGACATCGGCCCCGCGGTTCAAAAGGACCGCCGCGGGAGTAGATACATGCATGGAAAAAAAGTGACAGTTTTACGACTCTCTTCGTCGCACGGGATGTTAACTCCAGTTTGGTATTTCCCTCGCCAAACGTGTAGAGGCGGGCGGAGGGCTTTACGTTCACTTCCTGTCGATGCTTTTGGCTTGAGGACTCCTCTGTCCATGTATTTTGAGTATACGTGTAGGGCAGCAAGCTAGCCTGTGAACACGGGAATCGACGGGTCAAGTGTTGGATGGTAAGGGCAGAAGGAGTTACTGGGTGCATGTAGAGATCGGAAAAGTTAAGGTGAAGACAACAAAAAAGCCTGTAGCCCACGAGCCTCGGACAATCGCAGCAATCAGAAGGAACCAACGGGAAATACACAAGAGCGTTGCAAAGACGACGCGTTGATGTGACTTACACCATACGGCGGCCGGCTTGGGTTGTGGTATGCTGGGATCACTAAAAGCCCACCACCCGGGTACCCAAAGCGCCAGGCATTCTACTACCAAGAGAGGCTTAATACCGCCGCCATCGGGTTTCACATTAGTGGGTAAATCTCCGAGTCTCGTCAGCCCTTTGGCCGTGCATAGTGGAACCGCGACGGACGCTCTTGAAGGAGGAGTGGGGGTGGGCATGTTGCTTGTTTTGAATCGATTCGTGAGTTTCAAGGTGTTCACCCAATTCAAATGACTAAAACTAGCGTGAAATCTTGTACTGTCTACGCGGTTCCGCCGGACACGCGTGAGGATCTACTGTACAGGTTGGTCTTTTGCAAAGGATGGCAATGTACACACATTGGGCATCAGACTCTTGCGTATTGATATTTCGAATGGTGATTCTTCGTTCAGGCTCACTGCTGTGTCGAAGTATATATGCCAAGAGAGGCTATCTCTTGCTTACGATTTTCTGTTTCGCTGCAGCCTGAAGTGTCAGGGGTAGTGGCTCCAGCCGTATACTTCGAAGCACTATGCTGTGGTTTCGTCAAGAGCAACGGAAAACTCTAAAAAACGATCTACGTCAACCACATGGGACCACATAATATTGTTCTTTTTTTCTTGGGAACCCATAAATATGGTGCAGACCTTGGTCAAGACCCTGTGCAACCACTTTAGTTGGTGGTTGTTTGCCTGACAACTACTCTTCCAGGAGCGTGCGCACCTAGTTGCCTGCAGGTAACTACTTTTCCAGGAGCGTGTGCACCTAGTTGCCTGCAGACAACTTCTCTTCCGGGAGCGTGCGCGACGAGGTGTTCACGAACAGCTAGCCGGTGGTTGTCTGGCAAACAACTTACTTAGGGCCGTTTTAAACTGACCGACTTTTTGTCAAAATCTTTGAAAGTGTCAAAAAAATGGAACCTGTATGTAGGCGTTTGTCCATTTTTTTCAAAAATATTTGGAACGAAGTTGGGCGCGAAAACTTTGCTTCACTTCGTTCCAACTTTTTGACAACCCTCTCAAAGTATTTGGAGCACTTTCCAAAGTACCCTTGCAGAGGCACGCGAGGGCTGCTGCGTCTGCACCACGAGTGCCCCTCACCGTAGAAAGTCAGCTAGGGTTGTGTGTGAGTCATGGCCGACCGTAGAAAGCGCGGCGCGCCTACAGATTCGAGCGGCTCTCCTCGCCCACGGGCACGCGCTAGGCCAGCACACACCCATGTCCTCAAGAAGCTGAACGCAGTAGTGGCAACGGTGCTGTTGCTGACTGTCGTCACATCGACTGTCACTCAGCGCTTTGCACCCAAGGCGCGGCAACCCATCCACGAGCCGCGACGCCTGGATTGGGAAGAGCACGTGAAAGACGTGAGACGCAGGAAGCTGTTCCGACGCATGTACAGGATGGAGGAGCACAGTTTCGACAAGCTGGCGGAACTTCTGCGACCCATCCTCGAGCGCAACGACTACTACGCAAGTAAGAAAGACGCAACACAGAGTACGCCCGCGCGTGAGAGAGAGAGAGAGAGAGAGAGAGAGAGAGAG